TTGTTTTGTTTTTTCGTGGAAACTATATTGACTTTTCGAACAACCATCCCTTCCGAATCGAGTCTCAAAGTATCTAGCTTTAACCTGGCTACTACCTTAGCCAACAAGTGGCAATTTCCTGCTTTCCAGTTACACTTTTGCACAACCTGTAAAGGGACCTTCTGGACTTGATCTCCAGCTCCCAAGTAATCCCTGGTGTTCACAAATATCTCATTTTCATCGAGCCATGCGTGGCGAATAGGCTTCAAAAGTGAGCTTCCCGAAATGGCAAAGGGACTTGACCAAAATTCCAGCTTCCAACTTGTGAGTGAGGTTGCTTCTGTTCAAGCCATTGTATCTTGTAGAGAGGTTTAATTAAGATCATATCATTCCACTTCGTTCCCAATTGCCCTCGTTTAATTAAATTTGCATTCATGTATACTTAACCCAAAAAGTAAAACTGATCGGCTCCCAATTAACATAATTAATGTCCAAACCCCATACAAGGCAGATATAAAATTCTTAGGTAATTAATTTAATGTTCCTAGGATATGGAAAGGCTTCCATTCCTTGAATTTCCACCAACGAGGCAACAATGTATGCACTCCCCTATTAGTGAGAGAATTCATTGTATTAATAAACACAATAAAAAGGCTTACATAATTAATGGATTCTTTATTGTGTATAATTAAAAGGGTATTTTACTATAAACGAAGCATGATAGATTCACCGGGGGAATAAAAGAAGCATGAGTCTTGATGAAAAAGGGAAAAAATCCCCATAGATAAAAAATCATTATAATCAAGCCATATCCATACTATTCACGCCTATCATCGTCACTATACTTGTGACCAAATATAAATAAAACCTTAATTTTCGAAAACCATTAAAAAATGAAGATGAAATAAGTAGCACATTCTTCTACCTAATTGGAACTGCTTAGAACAAAAGCGGATTAAAATCTCCCCCAATGAAATTCATTTTCAATTTCATAGGTAGTCCCTACTTCCACTTCTATAATTTTGAGAAAACATCACTTCTCAACAACAATGAAAGTCAATTGCAATTTCATTAATAGTCCCCACTCGTGGGCCCATTTCAATTGCAAGCAAATTTGCACCCTTGCAATAGCTTCTCACATCATAGCAATTTAGAGATGCAATTGCACCTCCTTGCCACATCATCTTGCAAGTCACAAAAATTGCACCATTGGAGATGACCATTACTGCATCTCGTCACCTGTCTTAGGGAACTTAGCCATGGCAAATTCAATAAATACTGCATGCATAGAAAAATATTGGTGTGGACAATTCAAAAAATGGGAGACTTTCCTAGTCAAATGATGTACTGGCTCCCCTCAGTACCTGACAGTTTTGAGTGCTGGAGAATTAAGGAAAAGACAAAAGACTGGAAAAAAACCCAACAAAGACTTAGAAACTTGTTAACAGACGACATCCATTGTTGGCCCCTTTGCTGCTACAACGCTCCACCCCGCCCTGCATCAATCGACTCTCATGTAAGCCGAGGGCGTTTGCTTGAGGAGGACTCGGGGGTCTCTTGATGCTCCGTATGCTGAAGGTCAATAAAAGTAGTTGTCAATTCGGCTATACGGTACACCGACAAACAAGCGCACTGGTCCTCCTTAACATAAACCCCCATATCCATCCCAATCCTTTCAAGAAAGGTGGTCACGAAGGTGGCATATGGAAAGGCAGTGTACCAGTTTTCCCCTCTAGGAGCAGCCTCAACCATGTTCAGGCACATGAGAGATACGAGGTTAACAGGAACACCTCTTTGAGCTTGCACAAGGATAAACAAGTCAAGTTTACGAATAATCGAATGACCACGGTACCTTGGCAGGAAGCAGTTGACGATCATCCAGTGGAGGAATCAAAGAGGATCTGGGAGGAAAGAAGCCTAGATGCACCCCTTCATGAGTTTTGCCAGTTCAACTTCAAACTCAAAATCGTACAGCCGGGCCAGATCGCTTCTGCTCTCAATGGGGTGTCCTTCGGCGGGAAGATCAAGGATCTCCGCAAACTGATGAGGCTGGAAGCAGAATCTATGTCCCAGGAAGACGACACGAGATGAGAATCATAGGGACCAGAAAGCTCTAAATTGTGGTGGAACTTCCTCACCACATGGGGGCAGTAACTGGTGCTTCCTCGATTCCGGAGATCAAAGAACTTTTCCCAGCCAAGATTTTTTATTAACTTCTTCACTTATTGAGGGAAAGGACTTAGGTGGATGAACTCGTACTCGGCCACAATTGTTGTTTTGCTTGTAAATGAAAGATAGTCATCGAGACTAGTGGTGGATCGGCAATCTTCATTTGATAGAAATAGTATCCCCATTTCAGCAAACGATTTACCTTTGTTTGCCATGGCGTCTGGAGGAAGAAGGAACAAGGGGAAGGTGAAGATGGAGGAAAGAGAGAATGTATGTGTAAGAAAAAGTGATCATGGGGGTTGAGTGTGGAGACGTGAGTGTGATGGAGACGGTTGAGTCTGGAATGTCAAGAGTTAGAAGATTTCGGAAGATATGTAATGATGATGGTAACTCGTGTAGGTTAAACTAGGGTAAGTAAAGCTAGTTAAACTAGGGTTGGCGCACGAATTGACACGGCAGGAGAAATCAAATGGGCTGGCACGTTCAAGGCCCACTTTTGAATATTGCATGGGTCAAGTACAAGCCCACTTTTGAATGTTATTTAAAAGCCTGCAAAAATCATGATTGACCATCCAACTAGAATTAGTCCTAAACTCACCGTTAATACATAAACACAAATTAAGGAGACCTCTCCATCCGATTCGAATCAAATTATGTGTTCTTCATCTTCTTCCTCAATCCTCTGGGCGAGACAAACACTACATATCAGGAAACCTAAATTTCAGCGAGAGATATAAGGTTCGAGAAAATGACAATAACGCTAAGACAAGATGACAAAGCACTAGCGACATGAACCCTAGGGTTAGCAAACCTCTTTCAAGTGTTCTTTTGCAAATGAAAAGTTTGATGAACACAATAATAGACATGGTCGCCGTAATCGTGTTAGAAAGAGATAGGCGAAGGGAAATAAAATGGCGAAGAAGAAACAAGACAAAATAATTTGGGAAATTCAATCTACGTCGAATGTGGATGCAAGTAATTGGGATTCAAAACGATGATTAAGTTGGGGAGTTCAAATTGGATGGGGAGCTTCTCTTGGAACTGTGAAGGGGCGTCCCTCCAAGAAGAGAGAGGGATCGTGTAATTGGTTAGGGAGACTGGAAATTGGTTAGGGCGGCAGTGGGTCTACCCAATTGGGTTTGCAGTATTAATCCATTTAATTTAATCGGGGCAGTTAGTAGGACTAGGATGAAAACAAACTTAACGCGGTAGGAGCCTTTTTGTAATTTGTTTAGTTATTTAGTGGCGCAGTTAGGTTTAACAAACGTGAGCCGTGGAGATTGAAAACGAGTGGTTAAGATCGGCCAAGGTACCCGTACCCTGATTTTTCCCTTTGCCATATATGGTTCAGGCTAGCGTACACCCGAGCGTACGTTAGGATACCGTACGCCCGTTTGAGTTTTGCTATTTAGATCATGAATTAATAGGAGTTTTGGGCATGATACTATACCCTAACCACTAACGGATAAACCCCAGTACCTAGTTTTCTAACCCAAATCATGAGATTCGTATAATCTTAAAAATGAAAATGAACAACAATTTCGACGAATCAGAACCGTTGATTTTCATTTCAAGATTAAATGAATATTATGCTTTGGGTTAGTGAATTGCGGACTGGGGTTCACCCATTAGGTGTTATGGTATAGTATCATGCCCCAAACTCCGGTTAATTCATTGTCTAAATAGCAAAACTCAACGGGCGTACGTGTCGTAACCGCCCCTCTAGATCGGGGTACTCGTCGCGAACCGCTCAGAGTCGCCATCGGCCTTAATCGGGGTGGGTCGAACACCCTTTTTGGTTTTAATTTTTGTTAAAACCAGAATTCTGGTCTGCGAATTTTAGATTTTTCTAGATTCGGGAGTACAGTTACGTGTGGGGAAGTGTACTCACACCCCACAACGCCCCATAATGGGTACTACGTAAACTGATAAGTTTTTAAGGGTTGAGTGTTTCATTATTTGTATCTTATTGCATATTTTTGCATTCAATTAATTTAAGTATTTTGTTATTACAATTTGAGCATACATCTATTGATGTAAAATCTCAAAAGTGAAGAAAGAGTTTTTTAATTAGTTGGACTCGAACCTATTGGTTGCCTACGTACCCGAGTAGTCGGGATCAAAGTCCACGTAGTTCGTTGTAATTGTTAGTTTTAAATGTTGAGTCTCACACGTTGAAATGTGAAGAAAATGTTTTAGCTGGACTCGAACCTATTTGTTGGCTACGTACCCGAGTAGTCGGGATCAAAGTCCACGTAGTTCGGTTTAAAATGAGTGGTTTTTTTTAAGAAGCGATCTTAACACGGTCTATTGATCGTTGCTAAGATGATAATTTGAGTTGTTAGGCGATATATTTATGATGTTTCAACTTAGTAGTTGAATGGTAAAACCATCTTTCAAATGATTCCATCAAGAGTAACTATTACGGTTTATTTATCATGATTTCGTATTAAGATATTTAGAGGTATACATAAATACATAAATATTTTGAAATGTTTAGAGGTATACATAAATACATAATTTGGTTAAAGCAAAATCCTAGCACGATTAGATGATACGAATACTACGTATTAAGCTTAAACACGAAGAAAACAAGATAAGGAGATCAAAGTTTCAAATATCATAACATGGCTTTGTGGTTGGTTGCCCTTACCTGAAGCAATTAGTGAGGTCATGGTCTATGGTTTGAGACTTCACACTCTTGATTTTTTTTGGATTTCACAGAAGCATTCCGAGAGTGGCAGCGGGTAATTAGTCGAAAACTAGGAGGGTAGTTTAGTCATTTCTCAAAGTTGAGGTATAAGGCCTCTTTTAAGCTGAAATGAAAACCCTAATCCGTTTTCTTCCACTTGCAGCCGCTCACCTCTCAATCCTCTCTCTCGTTTCTTTCCCCCATAGAGCATGATCCAGAGAAAAATCACACCAATTCTGCTCACTCCCCTCAATTCGATCATTTTCTCTTTCACTGTCGTCATCCTTGCATCGCCGTTAGACGCCAGTACCACCCAGAAAACGACCTGCATTTCCATCCTCTCCTTCGATCTTTTGCCTACTTCCTCTCGCACTTCTCCATCCAATCCCCATCGCTTTCCCTTCTGGTAGTAAGGAAAGAAGGACGGCGGCTGCGGAAGAACTAACGCCGATGGACGCCGGCGACGAGGACGATGCAAAAGTAAGTTGGTTTTTCTTTGTTTGCATGCCGATTTTAAGGTTTGATTTCTCTGGTTTTGGTCGGTCCAGACCTATTTGTGTGTTTTTTTTAGGATCGGGCGTGTCGCAAGGGAGGATGGGGTCATTGGAGACAGGGATAGGAAACCGTCGGCGACAGAGGCGAAGACTCTCTGGCCGCCGCGATGACGAGTCCAATGGAGATAGCGGGTTCTAATAGGTAAGTCGTGTTGTTTGGGGTTTTAGCGATCTAGGATTATATGTTTTAAAGTCTCAAAAGATGGATTTTGTTAAGGCCTCTTTTAAGCTGAAATGAAAACCCTAATCTGTTTTCTTCCACTTGCAGCCGCTCACCTCTCAATCCTCTCTCTCGTTTCTTTCCGCCATAGAGCATGATCCAGAGAAAAATCACACCAATTCTGCTCACTCCCCTCAATTCGATCATTTTCTCTTTCACTGTCGTCATCCTTGCATCGCCGTTAGACGCCAGTACCACCCAGAAAACGACCTGCATTTCCATCCTCTCCTTCGATCTTCCGCCTACTTCCACTCGCACTTCTCCATCCAATCCCCATCGCTTTCCCTTCTGGTAGTAAGGAAAGAAGGACGGCGGCTGCGGAAGAACTAACGCCGATGGACGCCGGCGACGAGGACGATGCAAAAGTAAGTTGGTTTTTCTTTATTTGCATGCCGATTTTAAGGTTTGATTTCTCTGGTTTTGGTCGGTCCAGACCTATTTGTGTGTTTTTTTTAGGATCGGGTGTGTCGCAAGGGAGGATGGGATCATTGGAGACAAGGATAGGAAACCGTCGGCGACAGAGGCGAAGACTCTCTGGCCGTCGCGATGACGAGTCCAATGGAGATAGCGGGTTCTAATCGGTAAGTCGTGTTGTTTGGGGTTTTAGCGATATAGGATTATATGTTTTAAAGTCTCAAAAGATGGGTTTTGTTAAAATTCCCAGAATTTGTTCATACAAAGAAAATCTTAAGTGGTGAAATTTACATGTTAATCAACTGTAAAAATTGCTACTGCTTGTGAATAGGAAGTCTCAATATCGTATGTTCATGGTGGACTTGAACTATTTCGAGCCTGGACGTGGTTTTGTCAAGATGTTGATTCGGGTTTAGGGGTCATGCTTAGTTAGTGATCATATGATTTTTTGGATTGAATAGGTTGGTTTTTCTGAAATCTGGGATTTGGGTTGGGGTGTTCTCGGAAATGGAAACTGTGGGTTGTGATTGAATCTTGAAACCTGCTCGTTTATGATTGGAATTCAGTGTGTGTATGATGGTTTGTGGTTTTTAAGGGGTTTAGAATCTGGAAATTCTGTATACTTGTTTGGGGGTATTGATTCTGGGAATTCGGTTATGGTTTGTTTATACTGGTTTTGGAACGGGAATTTTGTGGTGTAATATGGTGGTTCGAATCTGTTAGTTAATTTTACGACAATTGAATCTGGAAATTTGTTGTGTGTATGGTGAATAACTGGGGAATTTAGCTTAGTGATGGTTAGGTGTGTAGTCCAACATATAATAACAAACATACAAAAATAAGCGGAACGGGTAAAAGAAATAGTAAATGATGAACAAATATAGATTTATAGATCTAGTATTGTAGTAGGATTAAACATGAAATATTTAAATGAAAGTACTGAGATAAATAGGAAAGTAAATATAATGAACACATAAGGAAAAGAAATATATCTAATTTGTTGATTGCTTTTGTTATTATGGTGAGAATTGCCGACTTGTAATCTGCTTTGAAAATCGATTGGGCTTGATTGTTTTTGGAGTTTTATTTGGGTTAGATTGTAATTTGATTGGGGTTGATTCAGTTTGATTTTGAAAAGAACTTAATAAGATGATTTAAGATGATGAATTGTAAAGATGATGGTTGGAATTTACATTGCCACCAACCTTTTTGAATTTTTCTGTTGTTTGGGGTGATGAGTCTGCCTCTGCTTGATTCTCTGAGCTTCTTTGTCTGCTACCTCCTTTGTGCTTTTGCTGATGTTGGCAGCAGGAGAGGATGTTTGTTTGTGTTTGTTTTTTTGCGGGGAAGAGGAAAGGGAGTTATGGTTTCTTTGCTGTCTTTTGGAAAAAGGAGAAGAAGAAACGAGGACAGAAACCTTGGGGAGAAGAAGATCAATTCTGTTTTTGTCAGCTTTTTGCTCTGTGGATCAGGAAAGAAGAAGTGGACAGCGGATAAGATGTGGCTGCCGCCCCCTCAAAACAAAGAGCAAGAGGCTCTTTTTATAGAAAAAAATTTACGTAAGCCATGGGCTGGTTCGGGTCCAATCAGTTCGGTTTGACCGGTTTGGTTCTTGGTTATGTGTTTCGACTGGTTGGGCCAAGTTGACGGGAATGAATTTTAGTTGGATTGGACCTGGACTTCTGTTGGCTTGGCTGGGATTTGAATTTGGGCTATTACCAGAACATACTTGGGTTTAGGCTTTGGGCTCTTTTCTTAATTTTGTCAAATGTAATCACACTCGTAATCTTTGTTTAATGAATGGTGTAATTATTTACTAATCATAGTTATGATTGTTATTTAGAAATTGAAGTTTATGTCAATGAGTTGATATTTCTATTTGACTTTCTCTTCCTATTTCATTATTCCTAAATCGATGCCCAAGTCCAACATCAAATCATGTCCACGAGATTAAGCAATTGCGTAATTATTTTAACCAAGCTAAAACAAGGCAGCCAACCCAAATGTTTTAAACATCAACTTGTCCATATCAATCGAGATTTGCTATTGCTAATCTGACCGAGGTAAAACAAACATGACTCATCTCAAACACCACGAATACACTTTAGTTAGCAGATTGTTTAAGATTTGCTATTGCCAACCTTAAACAAAACTAAATTCTATTTAATTAGATTATTTTAGCATGGACAAAAAGTGGTGTCTACAGTTGCCCCCATTTTGATTAGCTCCCTCGCAGTGTAGCCGACTTGTAGGTTCTAATTTGTTCCCCTCGCATTGTAGTCGTGTAAGGGTTACTGATTATAACGGTAATGACAATGCATTCAAGTTGTTTGAGATAAAACGAGCTAAACAAGTTGAAAGGTGATATAAAAGAGCAGTCAAGTTGTTCGAAGTATAACATGCTAAACAAATTGAATTATGATGCAATCAAATTGTTCGGGGTATTACATGCTGAACATATATTGATGGCATAACTAACGGGGTTGTCCGGGATAATGCAATCAAGTTGTTCGGGATATGACATGCTGAACATTTGTTGATGGCAATGCGATAGATTGTCCGGGACATGACATGCTAGACATTTTAATGCATGGTGGTAATGAGTATGAGTGTTTTGTGAGATAATCATGAGATGAGTAATGTTTAATGAATGATAATGTCGTGCTATGAAAGATATGAGAGGGGGAGAGTGTGATATAGCAATGATTTGGGTTTGTTTGCCCTTGTGGTAGTATAGATTGGTTTAGAGTTTCTGGTCCCATGGTGGTATAGCTTGATTTTGGGATTTTATCCATGGCGGTATAGCCTAGTTTTTTCTTGTGGCGGATAGCCTGGTATGAATTTTTCTTTGTGGCGGTAGCCTGATTTGGGTTACTGTGTGGCGGTATAGCCTGTGTTGGTAGAGATTTGTATTTGGCTTCACATTGATGGGCAAATGCAAGGTATTTTGTGATATGATACGATATGATATGATTTGCTGAGGTATGCTGAGGGAAGGTATGCCCACCGATTGATATCTAATTTGGCTTGGAATTTCTAGTAATTAGTCATCTAATGAATGATGTCATGTGATAAGTTTGACGCGTATTTGGATAAATTGTTGATGTCATATGATATGAGTTGAAGTGCATTCGGAAATTATGCCATATGATGTATGTGAAGTGCTTTTGAAAAAGGTTGTATGATGAGTCATATGATGATGTCTTGAAGGATATGCAATGGAAAGAGTATAATCCCTAATCATGGTTTTGATATTTTGTCAAGGGTTTTCTTAAATTGATCATCCACGAGGAACTACGCCATTGTCCCTTTTGTAAGCTTGATCTTTAGTTGTGCTTGCGCTGGAGTAGAATGGATGTTGTTGGTGGGTACTTTTCTTCCTTCTCCACCTTGGACACTAGTGTTTGAGTGGCTGATGTGTTTGCCAAATGACCTTCTTATTCATGAGATGTGTTTGTTATGTTGATTATGTAGGAGGATTATGTAGCATGGTAGTGTAGGGATAATGTGCTCCTTTATTTTGATTGATCTTCTTACTATGAGAGAATGTCATGTTTAGGTAAGAGAATTTGTCATCTCAGGGTATTGTCTTGTTGATGTCGATTTTCTAGACATGCTTGATTGACTTCACCGGGAGGTATGAGGTACAAAAACTTCGTTGAAGGATAGTTTGATTGACTACTTGAGTAGCTTGAACATAATGATTCAAGATCTCTGAGATTTCCTAAGTTGAAGAAGAGAGCCACTTTTTTCTGGGTGGCACCATTTTGCCCTCGAGAATACGTTATTTGCCTTTGCTTCTTCGGAACAAAGTGCGACTTTTACCAACCTTAATCGAAGATGAGTGCAACAATGTTTGAAAAATATTTTTGAGAAAGTAGAATGAGAACTTGATGTGAAAATCAAAGCCTTATCGGGGGAAATGCGTGCGATTTGCAATAAATTGATTATTGACACATATTTAAAAAATTTCATAAGTCAAGCCATGAGAATATTGATAAATCCTCTCTTTCATTCTCACGCTCAAATTCACTAACACTCATTCCTATAGGTGCTTCGAGTATACGACACTTTGGCTACTATCAAGATTCTTGTCACCAAGTTGATGGACAAATGTGTCGGAGGTATAAGTTGATGATCATGGAGATTCCATGTAATCTCTGTATGGTCTCGTCATGTGAGTTCTGGAGCTTTTTTGGAAAGTGACTCTTGTACGTCAGAGTCATTTATGTTTTGGGAAGCTGAATTTTCTCAAATGAATGATGGATAAATGAGTCTCACATCCTTCATCGTCTAAGTTTCCTGCTGAGGGATTCTGACTTGCCCCCAAAGTATGAAGCTGGTTCATGGATAAAGGAGGTGTTTGTGTGAGGTAGACTTCAACTGCTTATTGGCTCTTGGAATGATGAATGTTGAAAACCTTTATGAGGCGGTTATGATTGGCAAATTGTATTATCATGGGGATTCTACTTTTACTAGAAAGAATTGGATAATAGGGATCATCATTGGGATGTAATTTAAGCGTATGTTATTATTCTCATCTTACGAACCCTTCTCATTAGGGGTCTTTGCGTTATTTCCTTATGCTTGAAAGACAAGCATTCTTTGATCTGGAAAGCTTGTTAACTTGATGGCTAGATCCGCTTGAGTGTAACTTGATTGAGATATTCGTCCAATATTGAAACCTTGTGACCATATCGACAATAAGCTTGGGATCGCCCTTTTTTTGCCTCTTTGCAAAGGTAGCCAGTCATTTGGGACGAGTTTGAGTGATTGTAGTTTCAAGCGCTCGTTTATGGGCATCTAATGTGTAAGTCCCACAATTTTTTCGTTTTCTTTGTTTTGATTTTTCTTGCCATTTTGGCTTCTTTTTTTTTCTTTTAATTTTTGTGGGACTTACTTAATGTTGTTATGCCCCATACATGTTGTCATTTTGACTTGAGCATAAAAATGTTAGAAATTTGTCGACGTGAGTGATTTCCTTGTCGTATGGGCTACTGGCTATCCCTTTCTTGAGGAAGTGATACTCATGACGTCAGGTTGAATGCCTCCTCACGGGTTAGATTTAGGCGTGTAGATATTGGATGCTAATGAGACATTTTTCTCTTTAGCCTCAACAGATGATGTGGATTCTATGCGTGCCTTGATGAGGGTTTCGTCAAAACTTGGCTATTATAATGTTGGCATCACGCTTCTTGTAGGCCATAATTCGAAATACACGACCTATATCGGTTATGGATAGTGACAAGATTCTACAAGTAGCCTAGTGTCATATCCTCGTTGCACCCTTCGACTATTTAGCTCACATAATTTGTGGACACCAGTAGGGTATTTTTCTCTCTAATCTAGCAAAGTGTGCTTACTCTCATCATAAGTGGGTGGCTCAAATTCTGGACACCAGTACGGTGTTTATAAACACTCAGCACCAGTGGGGTGCTTATGGTTGCTTAATATGAAAATCTCATGGCTCAACTTGAAAACATGAAATGCGTTTTTAGGTTCCCATTTCCACAAAAGAAAGGTAGATTTTTAAAAGATATGGAAGATATATTCATCATTTTGAAAAAGAATCATTGATGCAAAGTCTTAGATCAAGATTGGTAGTAGGCACACAATGTTCCAAATAGGTGGAAATGCGAGTTACACATCATTCTTTATTATGATATAAAGGTTGGTACACATCTTCAATAGGGTAGAGTATCTATACATTTGTTTGTTTGTGAGGGGCCATATGATGCTCGAATTAAGCTTTCTCGAGTAGTATGTCTACTAATCTCCATAGCTAGGTAGTGGGCTATTGATGTTTGAACGAATAACTTCTTCGAAATTTCTCATAGATTCCTTGTGATCTGATACCGTTGACTTCTTTTGCTGTCATCGAATTTCTTCTAGAATGAGCACAACCTTGGATCTGGTACATAGGATTTGACTTTATCCTCGTGGATGAACAATTTTAGAGAATTCTTGATTTATTTTGTTAAATCCGCCATGTTGATAAATGAGATGAATATATGATAATCATGCGAAATGGTGTGAATATGCATATGCAAGATGTTTTTTTGTGTGGATGCATGAATGTTGGTGAAATTACCTTCTTGATTGATTGTAGAGTGAACGAATGGAGAATGAACGAAAAATGCTAATGTCATGATTTTTGTAAACTTTTGCATAACATCTAACCACATCATTCATGCATAATCGATGAAGCATGATTCATTATATCATAAACAAACATGAATCATAAACACATCATCCTATTTAGGCCAACTTAGGGTTTTATGAGGTTTAACAACGATGTTTAAGATAGGCCTCAGGATAATTTTTGGATAGTTTAAGGTGGCTTCTAGACTGACTATATGCTGGGTAATGAGTTCTAGGGATTTATTCCCAAGTTGTACCCTACTATTGCTCTTTCAAGCTTAGTCGGATACCTCAAATCAACCTCGGATTTGAGTTCAACTTGGTTAGAAAGTTTCGCGTGCCAACCTACTATTGTAGGCCTCACGGTACTCCTTTCGTGTTTTCTAAAGGTAGAGCTCGGGCATAGAGCTTTTATGTATGACGTGTTTTACATTGATTGAGTGGTATCTTTGATATAGACGTGTTGTTCTCATTCTTACGATCTTTTCTCGACTTATCATGTGAAAGTATCAATAGTACGCGTCTATTGTATATTTTTTCTGATACATGTAAATGAGACTGCGAGGTAATTTTGTATGTTAGATCCCTCGTGAAAAGAAGGAATTGATCGGAGCCACCGGCGATGGGGTGACGTAGTTCCTCTGGATTAGCTTAAAAACCTAATA